TAATGTTGCTACGCAGGCTGGATTGGGGGAGGAGGAGGTAAGTTTTATACATGCACAGTAGAAAGAGATGAGTTTCTCTTGTTTCTTCCTTCCCACTGCGATGGGGAAGGTGGCTGGCTGTCTTAAGACTGGAAGATGGGATAAGACAAGAGTTCTCACCAGTGGGAAAACAGACTATCCACAAGGTCTGCAGAATCCAGTGTTGAAAAGAAAATTCAGCTTTGTGGTTCCTTCCCACTGCGATGGGGAAGGTGGCTGGCTGTCTTAAGACTGGAAGATGGGATAAGACAAGAGTTCTCACCAGTGGGAAAACAGACTATCCACAAGGTCTGCAGAATCCAGTGTTGAAAAGAAAATTCAGCTTTGTGGTGTTTCAGTTAAACTGGACTCAGAATAAATGAATCTCAAAAGCTGCAGAGCTGATGTGAAGTCGTGAAAAACAGTGGTATGGAAGTACCCAATGTCTTGCTTTATTCCTCTGTATGGGAAATTTCAAATTTGTGCAGCTATCGCTATCTATTTCTTGCAGTTCACAGGGATCAGAAAAGTCATGAGCAAAATAAACTAAACTCTATACCTGCCACTGGAGGCTTAAGGAATCTCATATCTGCAAAGTTGAAATTAGATGGCATATCTACACAAACGTATCCTAATTATCCTAACTTTCTGAAAGTGAAATTCAATAAGCATTCCAAGGAACACACTCACTGATATAAATAGGATCCTCCCTTATCTTGCCTTGCCTATGAACTGGACAATAAAAGAGTCAGCCTATTTCATTTCCAAATTTTAAGTGGTCATTAAATCACCTTCTCTTTCTGCCCAGTTGAAGCTTTCTTTCTTGACTATATGCCAAAGTAAGTAAGGAGCAGGAGATGAGGAATTAGAATAATTACTAAGAAAGTTGCCCCTAATTTTCCACCTCCAAACATGCTCACAAGAATATGGAGTTGGGTGGCTTATAGATTCAAATAAATAAATAATAAATAGACAGACAAACAATGGATCTGAACAACCATGTGCTCCTTTTAGCAAAAGAAGTTGGAATGAAGTTCCTTGAACAGAAACTAAAGACAAGAATATTTCCAGATGGGAATGGCACTCAGAAATACTTCTTTGGCATAGTTGACTATTCAGTTTCAAGGTATCTGCCTATCTATGCTATCTATGTCTTACCCTACCTTTGGTTTCTGAATTTTGTGGCAATATGCTTCGGTTTCTTGATATACTGTAAAATGTATTTCTCTCTTTGAGTTTAACTGCTGCAGTTTACAATTACTTTTTCTATTATTATTGCATTATTTTATTTATTTATTGTAAAGCTAAAATAATATTTTAATTACTTTTTTTAACTTTACAAGCAAGTAAAGTTTACCTCAAGAAACTTTATTCTGAGTTGACAAGTCCTGCATTACATGAAATGGATTAAGCTTCATTTCATCTTACAATATGATGTGTCAAGCTTCTCTCTTCATAGGATTCAAATCACATCCATTTCAATACGTAATTCTTCCGTGATCCTGATACCTGGAAATGATATTAAACTATTAATTAACAACGTTTCTGTAACAGTTACTACATACTGGACCTTGAACAGCTGGCTGTTGTAAGTGCAATATTGTATATGTAAGGCTATCTATTCTGTTACCTGATAATTAAAATAATTAAAGCTGAGGATTAGTTTGGATCTTCAGTCCAGAAGGTATTTGAGTTATAATTTAAACAAGAATTTAAGACACAAACTTAGTTTGTTTTTAAACTAATAAATTGGGTACTGAGTTTAACTATTGATGAGATATGTCTTCTTTTTTCCTGTGTTAGTGACTATCAGGGAGAAGTTGAAATATCAATAATAGGACTGTCTATTACAATAAATATGATTGTGGCACAAAATAACAGAGGACATCTGCTGGTGTCTGTCCAAAACTGCCATTTGAGCACTGGAGATATTGAAGTCCAGCTTAATGGTGAAGGAAGGTAAATCCAAGGAATATATTATTCAATGATACCTAATTATATGGAACTGATGGGGGGCTGTTTTTAATGAAATTTTTATATTGAAAAGTACATCATTGCAGCAATTTTGTCATTTGTATGATGATAATACAAATGCTGCAAATTATGTAGACGACATAAATCACAGCAGAATTTGGTTTGTTGTATTCAAAGCCTGTTTGTATCTTTATGTATGTATCTTTAATGTATACATTACTGTGCACATTACTGTACCTTTAATGAAGTTTAGGGATTCATAGACCTAGTATGAAATCTCTGTCTAGTGTACAAGCAAAAATGGGCCTCTTGTTGATTATCCAAGATACATTAAATAGGCATAATGCAATCATTTTAAAACTTCTCCCAAAAGTAGTATACCATGAGGCAGTATTTTAATTAATTATTAAGCTTCATACCAGCTGGCTTTCAATGAGCGTTCAACTGTTACATATGGCTGCATATTTCTATCATCTAACAAATTAAATTATAGAAGGAATTAACATGCATTGTGTTCCTTTATCTCCAGGTGGTATTATAATGCTTTTGTTCGACATTTGGAAAATGCTATACATACAAGGCTGGAAAACCAAGTAAGTTGTTTGGCATTCTGAGGAAAACTTGAATGGATTATACATTTGCCTCTGAAGAATGATACATTCATTTTCTTACTCAATCCTTTCCCATTCTTGATGAAAAACAAAAATCTTCTGTGTATTTTTTTTCACAGTTTTGCCTAAATGTTGCATTAAACATTCAAAAAGAGGCTGAAGTACTTAAGAGGCTAAAGGGTGAGTCTATGACAAGCTATCTATATTTTGCTGTGCATGGCACAGTAAAATAACCACATTTGAACCATGTGCAAAGCCTTTAAAATCTCTTGGGTAGCGAAGTTGAAAATGGAAGCCATTCTAATACTGTTTTTAGTGCATCTGAGTTAAGGAAAGGGGACTTAAAACAGCACAACTTTCTGTATACAGTATAAGGTGATAGATTTTCAAAAGTGTGGAATTATACTTGTCATTCATACACCTAGTGATTAGCGTTTTATTACGCATTTCTGTCAATTGAAGGCTTCCTTTCCAAAAACAATTTCAGCATTTCTATCTTACCCTTCCTAGATCTGTGCATGAAAGACCTCACTAAAACAACTGTTGGAAAGGTATCTATTGACTCGCAAAGTCTCTGTGTGGCATTACTGGAAATATATTACAGTATTCACACACAGAGGGCCTATTTCCTCCTGTTGCGTGAGGGTTCCTTTGCTCACCCTCTTTCCTCTTACATTTCTATAGTTTTCAGACTGCTGTTATAGCATCCAGTACTGCCACTATAGGCAAATCTTATCACCACCTCCACTTTAGAGTACAGATAGCCCAAATGCGGCACATTTTGATTCAGTGATTTGTTGCAGTGAAAGTACAGTATTAAATTTGTGCTAAGCTCACATGTGGCATGGAGGATTTCCCCCTCTCTTAAAAAACTGAGAGGAAGGAGCTTCCAATGATACTGACTGGAAGAAGATTTAAAACAGAAAGTACTTCTTCACCCAACAGAACTGACCTGTGATTGCGATGGTGATGGCTACTCAGGAGGGGCCCATAAGTGGATACAAGATAAAATGTGTATGATAATCTCATCAAACAAATGTTGTGACAAACATAATTGCATTAGACATCAGAACAAGGTACATAATTGCAGCATTTGTGTGATGGCATCAGATGCTATTTGTCATTTGGCTGTTACAGTTTGCAGCAGATGCCACTGTGGGGCTACTAATTAGATAACTTAAAGGGAATTAGATAACTTCATGGAAGACAGATTAGGGTTTTTGGCCTTGAAATTCAATATTACCTCTGGGTTAGGGAAAGGATGCTTCCAAATACCAGTAGTAGGGAAGCAATGATGGGAGAGGGGTGTATCTTCACATCTGCTTGTAAGCATCCTAAAGGCATCTGATTGACCATTATGAGAAGCAAAATGATGAACTAGAACGATCCTTGGCCTGATCCAGCAGGCCTACCCCGTGTTCCTTGTCTCTGAGAATGTTTATTTCATTTATGCTGTTGACAATTTTGTTTATATATTTATTGCTCTCCCTTCTGCAGGGAGCTGCATTATGATTAGGGTATTATAAAATATAGAGACATGGAGAGAAGAATGGATAAATGACATACTATTTTCTACTGTTCCATAGCTAACTAACCAGGAATAGCAAATCTAGTCCAGAGAAAAGACCTGTAATCTCTTATTAGCATCTTGCATCTTTTATCAAAGTATTTTTTGACAGTTTTCATTTCTTATTGCTTTGGCCAATCTACTCATCTTTGGGACATGGACTAGGAAGGACAAAAAAAGAACGATTTTTTTTTCTCCTCTGAAGCTAAACCACAAGTGTTATCAGGAACACTTCCCATGAAACATTCCTAACATTTTAATCTGCTCCAAGTGTTGTGTACTAGTTGTTTCAAAACTGTTCACATGATTAGCTAGTCATCTGATGTAATTTTGTTTTCATATGCTCATGTTACCTCGGTGTAAGATTAATGGCAAGGTTATTGGATTCAGAAAGGAATATTCTTGAAATTCCTGCTGTTTGTAAGGTTTACTGGATGACTTTGAGATGGTCACTGCTGTACAACCTAGCCTACCTAACAGGATGGTAAGGGGGGAGGGGGGAGGAGTAGCTGAGATCTTGAGGAAGAGAGAGTTTGAGAGATCTCAATTTTCCTTTTTTAAATAACATTGCAGGTGTATTCCAGATTAATCCTATTATTCAAGTAAACTATTCCCTTATTAAACCTCCTGAAGTCTTTAAATCCTATGTTGATCTGGATTTTAAGGTAATCCTGTTTGTTTTTATGCTGTCTGAAATGGTAGCTTAATAATCTAGTTTTGCTTTAGCAATCATCTAGAGATCTTCAAGAATCTAAAAAATTCTTTATTTTATAAATTTATTAAACGTATGAATATAATTGTACATTATTATTAGACTATTAAATTAATAAAACTGTCAGATGCAGCGTCTGGTTCAAAAGGTTTGTCCATCTCAAAGAGGTTTGGATAAATATTTTGGTTCCTTATTTCTTTTAATTTTAATTTTATTTTAGCATCATTGTTTAATTCTTAGACATTTTTCTACATACAAACAAACAGTTTATCACATCCCCCACAAGCAAAATTAACAACAAAAAACCAAAAGCAGTTAAAATTGGGCCTAATTTGCCTTCCTTAACCTAGTCTATGTAGTTGCATAAATGGAGTTAGATCTTTGGAGTTGGATTTTTCAGTGGAAATCATTCCGCTCTTAATGGGAGAGTTTTAGCTGGAATGTTAAAGAAATGCTCCCTTGAATTCATTTTCACCTCTAATAAACAATTGTAGCTCAGGGTACATAAAGTTTTTGATCAGAGGAAGCCTTTAAAAATCTGTGAGCATGTTACAAATGTTCTCACCAAATAGCTGCTAGGTTATAAGGGTGGCTTCTAGTCAAAATAGCTGCTATAAAGGGTATGAGCCGCCACAGATTTTTTTTTTCAATGAAGGAGGTATACCTCTAAATGAAGCCAATTGAAATCAGTGAGATTGATACTCTATTAAGTGGTCACAGAATACGTGTTTTGTTCCATAAATCAACTTCTATAAATTTATTTTTCAGGTTTCTGTGTATCTATCAAGAAATCATACAGAGTCTCCCTTTGTGGCAGCCCCCTTCCCTCTTCCAGAGAAGAATGACTATATGCTCTTCATTGGAATTTCTGAATCTTTGCTAAACTCTATTTCATTAACTTATTATACTAGTAGAGTGTCAAAGATAACTTTTTCCGACGAGGTAATTACTGGTGGTATTATATATTTTGTGAATGAACCTGAACTTAAGAAAAATCTTAAGTGACCTTGAAAAAGTGTGTGTGTTCATAAATGTGGTCAGGCCAGTGTAACCACTAAAGCTGTGTTGTCCAAACTTGGCCACTTTAAGATGAGTAGACTTCAACTCCCAGAATTCCCCAGCCAGAATGGGGAGTTGAAGTCCACTCATCTTAAAGTGGCCAAGTTTGGACAACACTGCACTAAAGTCAAGCAAACCAGCTGATTTAGTTATCAAAAAAGTTACAAGTATTCTGTAATTTAAACTTGTGTTCATATTGTTCATATTCATATTTTTATTTGGAA